TCTTGTTTAAAAAGTCTGGCTTTGCTCTTAAGCTTGCAAGCTATTTTTAAATGAGATTTATTTCTTAAGTTCCCTCATTCCCCACTCCGCATTCCTGACCTGGTACCTCCCTGCAGAAGAAACCGTTTGATTCTCATTTCCTGAAATACCAAAGAAGAAAACATTTCAGCTAATGAGATAAGGTTGCCGTTGTCAGCTGCAGTGAAATGTTATCATTTGAGTTTTTTCTGGCCCAATGGTGGGTTGCCTCTCCATTCGCTCATGTGGGAGATTCCTGACACTCACTAGCACTTTGCTGACATGAAACGTTTTCCTAAGGCGATTCATCAGAGTTTTAAAGTATGGCAGCCGACCTGGGGAGAATCAGGGCGCAGAAGCTGGAAAGGGTCTTTATTTCTTGGAGTCATAGAGTTGTTGACAAACGAGGATCCATGAGCCAAATCCAGCCACCGCCTGATTCTGCAAATGAGGGTTTATTGGGACGCAGCCAAGTTCATTGTTTTTGTATTGCCTATGGCTACTTTCACACTACACGAGCAGTGGTGAACAGTTGTGACAGAGACCCTACGGCCCACAGGGCCCAATATATCTACTATCTGACCCTTTACAGAAAGGGTCCTGACCTCTGGTCTAGGACACAGGCATATCTCGGAGATATTGTGAGTTCAGTTCAGACCACTTCTAGAAAGCTAATATCACAATAAAGTGAGTCACACGAATTTTTGGGCTTCCCAGTGAATATAAAAGTTATGTTTCCACTACACTGTAGTCTTTTAAGTGTGCAATAGCATTGTATCTAAAAAACAAACAAACAAACAAACAAACAAAAAACCACTGTACATACCTTAATTAAAAATTCTTTATTCCTAAAAATGCTAACCATCATCCGAGCTTTCCGTGAGTCATAATCTTTTTGCTGGTGGAGGGTCTTGCCTCGATGTTGATAGCTGCTGACTGATCATGGTGATGATTGCTGAAGTTCGGGGTGGCTATGACAATTTCTTAAAATAAGACGATGAAGTTTGCCTCATGGATTGACTCTTTCTTTCACAAACAATTTCTCTATAGCATGTAATGTTTGATAGCATTTTACCCACAGTAGAACTTCTTTCAGAATTGGGGTCAGTCCTCCCAAACCCCGCCATTGCTTTATCAAATAAGTTTATGTAATATTCTAAATCCTTTGTTGTCATTTCAATAATCTTCACAGCATCTTCATCAGGAATAGATTCCATCTCAAGAAACCACTTTCTTTGCTTATCCATAGAAGCAGCTCCTCATCCATTAAAAGTTTTGTCTTGAGATTACAGCAATTCAGTGACATCTTCACACTCTGCTTCTAATTCTAGTTCTCTTGCTATTTTCACCACATCTGCAATTACTTCCTCCGCTGAAATCTTGAACTCCTCAAAGTCATCAATGAGGGTAAAAATCAAATTCTCCCAAAATCCTGTTGATGTTGATATTTTGGCTTTTTCCCATGAATTATGAATGTTCTTAATGGTATCTAGAATGGTAAATCTTTTCCAGAAGGTTTCCAGAAGATTTACTTTGTCCAGATCCATCAGAGGAATCACTATCTATGGCAGCTATAGTCTTATGAAATGTAGTTCTTAAATAATAAGACTTGAAAGTTGAAATTACTTCTTGATCTGGGGGGTGCAGAATGGATGTTGTGTTAGCAGGGATGAAAACAACATAAATCTTGTGGTACGTCTCTGTCGCAGCCCTTGGGTAACCAGGTGCTTTGTCAATGTGCAATAATATTTTTAAAGCAATTATTTTTTTCTGAGTAGTCAGTTCAAACAGTGGGCTTAAAATATTCAGTAAACCATGTTGTAAATAGATGTGCTGTCTTCTAGGCTTTGTTTCATTTATAGAGTATAAACAGAGTAGATTTAACATAATTCTTAGGAGCCGTAGGATTTTCGGAATGGTAAATAAGCACTAGCTTCAACCTAAAGTCACCAGCTGCATTAGCCCCTAACAAGAAAGTCAGCCTGTCCTTTGAAGCTTTCGAGCCAGGCATTGACTTCTCTCTAGCTAAGAAAGTCCGAGATGGCATCTTCTTCTAATAGAAAGCTATTTAATCTACATTGAAAATCTGTTGTTTCATGTAGCCACTTTCATTAATTTTCTTAAGTAGATCCTCTGGATAACTTGTTACAGCTTCTACATCAGCGCTTGCTGCTTTACCTTGCATTTTTATGTTATGGAGATGGTTTTTTCTCTTAAACCTCATGAACCAGCTTCTGCTAGCTTCAAACTTTTTTCCTGCAACTTTCTCACTTCTCTCAGCCTTCATAGCACTGAAGAGAATTTGGGCCTTGCTCTGGTAATCTAGATTTGGCTTAAGGAAATATTATGACTGGTTTAACCTATCCAGACCAATAAAACTTTATCCATATCAGCAATAAAGCTCTTTCGCCTTCTTAACCATTTGTATGTTCACTGAAGTAGCGCTTTTAACTTCTTTTAAGAACTCTTCCTTTGCACTCACAACTTAGCTAACTGTTTGGCACAAGAAGCCTTGCTTTCAGCCTATATTGGGTTTCAGCATGCTTCCTCAGGCTTAATCATTTCTAGCTTTGATTTAAAGTGAAGAGTGCAACTCTTCCTTTCACATGAACGCTTAGAGGACATTGGTTATTAATTGGCCTAATTTCAATATTGTTGTGTCTCAGGGAATATGTAGGCCCAAGAAAAGAGAGAGAGAGTGAAACAACAGCTGGTCAGTAAAGCAGTCAGAACACACACAACATTTATTAAGTTCACCGTCTTCTGTGGGTGCAGTTCATGGTGCCCCAATACAATTATAATAGTAACATCGAAGATCATTGATCATGGACGACCACAACAAATATAATAATAATGAAAAATTTGAAATATTACAAGAATTACCAAAATGTGACACAGAGACACCAAGTGGGCAAATGCTGTTGGAAAAATGGCACCAATAGACTTGCTCCACACAATGTGGCCATAAACCTTCAATTTGTTTAAAAGAAAATGCAATACCTGCACAGCACAATAAAGCAGAGTATAATAAGACGAAGTATTCCTGTATTGCCATCCTGACTGCACTAATGTTATCTCGATGTCATTTTCTCCCTGAAAGTACTATCTTTTCTCTGCAATGTTGAGCGAGCTGGGCATTTCTACAGCTCAGTGATGGCCAGTGTTCTACGTGGGACTGTCTCCTATTTAGAGCATCTCCTCGTCCAGCACAAATACACACACACATGGCCATGCATGGACCTTTAGACCTGATGTGCCCTTACCAAACCCTGCCCAGCCATGTCTTGGCACACAGTTCAGTTACTCCACAACAGAGCATGTATATGTATTTTTATGAGGTAAAATATGTCATTTTCAATATTCTAGTAGCCACATCTAAAAAGAAAAAGAGGAAGTTAATTTCAGTGATATATTTTATTTAGCACAAGACATGAAAAACATCATTTTGACTTATAATCATTATTTTAAAATTATTGAGGTAATTCATATTTTTGGTTTGCACTAAGTCTTCGAAATCTAGTGTGTATTTTACACCCGGAGCACATCTTACCTCAGCCACATTTCAAGCACTGAGTAGCCACGTGGGCCACGTGGTGGGGTGTGGGGAAGGGGAGTGAAGGGGCTTCCCCCTTATTGGATGGCACAGTGCCAACCTCTTTTCCTCTGCCAGCTTTTCTCCCTCTGCGGTAGGAACACCATTCTTCCCATTCTTTCCCACCTCCCTTGACCCTGCAGCGCCCTCTAGCGTTGCCTTTTCTCTCACTCCGTTCTCAGCCAGGGTAACTTGAAGAAGTCCTCTGAATAGCTCGTCCTTCCTTGTTTCTTGTCTCTTGCCCCTCCTCCACCCTCCACAGTCTGTCCTCAACTCCTTGTGGCTCTCAGCAGAGTCCCCAGTCTCCTCCTGGTAGCTCTCTTCAAAACTTTTTTGTTATAAAACACGGTTTTAAAAAAAAAAACATGAACAAAAGTAGAGCTTGATGAATGATTAAAATAAACACCTTTGTAACACTACTCAGGTCAAGAAATAGAACTTTTGAGGCCCCTCCGCCAGAAGGCCCCAGTGGCCTTTTGCTGCGTGACCCTTTCCCACTCCCCAGTGTAACCCACCCCCCCTCTGATTTTTGTAGTAATCACTTCCTTGCCTTTCTTTACAATCTTTCTCACCTAAGTGCCAGCAGCTCTTTTAAATACTATTTCTACAGCTACCTCTCCAGGAGTTGACACTTTCTTGACACTCTCTCCTGCCTTGGATGAGAAAGTACTATTTGCTCCAGCTTCAGCTCCAGCCTCTGCTCGCCCTCCTCCAACTCCATGTCCTCTTGTAGCTGCTCCATCCCGGATGGCCGGCTGCCCTCCCGCTTTCCACCCACAGCTTCTCTCTCCAGCCCCAGGGCTGCACTGCACCCAAACTCAGGCCCACATCCAGGTCTCCAGCCTCGCTTGCTCCCCAAGCGCCACACTCAGACACAGTCTCCACGCACTCTGTGCTCTCCTCCGGGTCTGCTCTTCTCCCCAGTGTCTGACCTTTGCTAAGGGCTCCAGCATGCGTTCAGGTGCCCGGTCCAGGAGCGTGGAAGCTCTTCTCCCCGGCATCGTACCAGTGGCCACATCCTGGATTCTTCTGGAACTCGCAGATCTCCATCCACCTGCCTCCACTTGTGTGTTTCCCCCAGGACTAATTCAGTCTCAGAACTGGTCCTTGACTGTAGCTTCATGGCCGCCAACAGTTCCATCCCACCCCACATGCATGGTTCTGGGAAAGCCAATGTGCAGTGTGCTCTGATTTCAAATCATCCTGGGGCTCTGTGATCTTCGGAATGTGCCTTCCATGGCCTGGCCCCTGCCCACTGCCCAGCCAAACACCTCACCCCTGTACCCCCTCAGGAACGAAACTGTTTGCAGGTCCTGAGTCCTGGGAAGTCCCTCGCTCACTCCCACCTCATCAAGTTGGCACATGCTGTTCTTTCCCTCAGAATCTCCTATTTCCACCCCTCCATCCCCTACACATAGTACCTTCTAGTACACATACACACACGTGCACAGACCTACACGCATACACACATCACACCCCGCCATGAGGCAACATGATGTGCTGCTGCCTTCAAAGTGAAAGTAATGTTTTAATGGCAGGCACCTGGGCACACAGTAGCTGATGGTATTAGTGGCAGGAAGATTTGGGGACCCTAATGCCTCTCATCTTTCAATATTCCACTAGAGCCCCAGGAAGACTCCTCTTTTCCAGCCCACTTCAGCGGGTATGATCTGCCCCTTTCTTACTATGTTGGGATTGACTTCTGATTATCCCAAGAGGCTGTGAGCCCTTGGCTGTGATCACGTGTGATCACAGCTGGTCTCCCTGCTTCCAGCTCACCTGTCCACAGTCTGTTCCTCACACGCTAGCCTGTGTGGCCCTGTTCAAACATAAGTCAGATGATGCCCCCCTCTCCGACCCTCCATCAGGGTAAAAGTCCTTACTGTGGAGGGCCCCTCTGACCCCATCTCCTGCTCCTCCTCCTCCCCTTGCTCCTCCGGCACCAGTCACACAGGCTTCCCTGATATTCTTCAAACAGGACAGTTATTCACACAGCAAGTGCAGGACTTCCTCCAGGCATGCAAATGGCTTGCTCTCGCACCTCCAGGTTTTGACTCAGATGTCACCGCTTGCTGAGGCCTTCCAGGACCACTGTTTGTAGCAAGGAGGGCAGCGAGTGTTAGGATGGCTCATGAGCCAGGCACAGCCCAAGGAGTTAGCACCTCGCTCGGGGGTGTATGGTAGAGCAAGGTCACAGTGCAGAGACCCAGCTCCTACCCTTCTCCCTCTGGGACAGAAAGCCAGGGAGTTTGGGGAAATTCTCGGCTCTTTTATTAACTACCACTGCTTGCTTTTTCTCTGCCTGCCAGTTCGTTGGTTCTTTCCGTTTGGTTTCCTCTAATCTGCTCAGAACCTGTGCAGTGTCTGTTCCTGTCTGGCAGATGAAGAAACCCAGGCTCCGTCTGAGAGGCTGAACGACTCACCACACAGCTGGTGAGGGGCAGAGTCAGGACTTAAAGCTGGACCTTCTCACCCCAAAGTTCAAACTCTT